TACAATGAAACAAGTTAGTTCTTTTATAAATTTTTAAAGTGTTTAAATATGGTCAAGGCGTCAATCTTTTCACTAAGCTACTTATATGTGGCGATCAGATCTGTGTCTTTTGCAGATGATATGATGTTTTTCTTGAAGTATTATGACGCTGATGAGAAGATGACTTTCTTTTGTGGCCATATAATGATCAATTATAAATCGATGATTCGAAATTATTTGCCACAAATTCTGCAGAAAGCTCGTCTACCTCCAGGAACAGAGTTGAAATTTTATGAGGTATAAAAGTTTACGCACAAGTAAAATTTATATGGTTTTTGACAAAGTCGCGCGAAAAAAGTAATCATGGTTTGAATTATTCCCACACAAAAGTGACAAGATTGCCGACAATAATCGACCATCTTTGAGCTCGATGATATAGCGAAATTTTTGATACACGACTTGCACTACTGCAAGTATTTTCTTACCTGTTTATGTGTATGCAGGGCAGAAAAGTATGTCATCCGGAAATCAATTTTTGAACTCGTGAAAGACATGTTGGTTTTGTATCATATTTGTTTCATGAAGTAGGTTTGATACATATTAGATTTGATACACACATATACCGACTTCTTGTTTTAAACCTGGTAAACACTAATTTTTGTAGAAAAAGAATTCAGATTTGCTTTAAAAGGACCGCAGATTTAATCCATATCAGTGAAGTGGGTCGAAATTATTTTCCAGCAGTAAGCTACTTTCATTCACAAGTTTTAGGAGATTGCACCGGAACGAATGCGTCCCTTGTGCATAGATGATATGATATCACAAGATCACGCATTGGTGGATTTGGTTGATGGTGCATTGTTAGTCTTCGAAAGAACCGATAAGTCAACCACAGAAAACAACGCACATTTGTATTACACTACAAAATATAATGCTATGCAAATTGAGGCATTGCAGAATCCAGAAGGTTTTGGGACACCTCTCAGTGAACAGTTCGATCCAATACTGGGAGAAATAAGCCAGGTTACCCCTTTAAAATCCTGGTTTCCTTTGTAGGTATTCTAAACTTTTTAACTTTGTATGTAGTATATTTTACAGACATGGACCATGGGACAGCTGATGCAATGGATTGCTAGTGGTATTGGATGTTCCGCAGATCATATTCTCTTATGGAAGGTATTTTGTATTACTGAGCTTGTTTCAGATGAGATTTAACTTGAAAATTCATCAAATTATATCATTATTAATAAAAATGAATTGACCTTTTGCCTTTACAAGAACTGCTGTGGTTTGCCCATTCGCTTTGGAATTAGCAGATCTATTCGTTTTTACCAACTGTTTTTTGTGAGGTGTTGGGATGGGGTGCGTCAGAACTTTTTTGTGGGTCAAATAGCACCCGTGGCAAAAATTTTTGGGAATATTGTCTTTCATTTCTTTTCCAGACAGATGGTCATATTTAGGCACTCTTTATCCTGTTGAAAGGACCGTGAAACTTATGTCTTCTGTACTATGTTTTATTTGGTTGCAGAAAGTTGTGAAGTTGTGCTATTCATGACAATATTTTAACGAATTAGCTGCAGGTAAGTCAGTACAATGAGAAACCAACCAACAATCATTTAAACGAACATGAGTTACGGGTTTATTCGGTGAAGGATCTTCTTGGATTGACAGGCCCACATAGGCATGATCCTCGGCGGCAGAAACGCTATCGCGTTTATTATACAAAGATGCCCATTTCTGTGAGTGATCTCGAAAGACGTTACAAAATGAGAGTGCAGATGATGGATGAAAAAATGCAAATCACGGTATAGTTGCTTGCTTTTTTTTCCTGAATTTTGTTATATATGCTTATGCGAAAGCAAAATGGCAAAGAGTTTGACAGCGGTGTATTTTACGAGTTTCCAGGAAACAACTGTCTTTCCCGAGAAAACAGGAACAGTTCAATCAATTTTGGATGAGGCGCAGAGAGAGTTCCGTTTTTCAGCTAACGGAACTAAATTACTGAGGTGATTTCAAATTTATTATTTGTCGGCCTTCCAGCGTTACTTGTAAACATACATTTGTCGATTGAACTTTATTACTGTTAGCGTTATCTTAAATTGCCGTTAATCTTTCAGGCTTGTTTACGTAGGCCAGGCATCACACTGTTTACGGGCTTACCACGTTTTCACTAATGATACACTTGCCAGTGAAATTTATACGAAGATTGGCAATACATCTTACGCAGTCAGTTTGCCATCTCATTCAGTATGAATTTGCAAGTATTCGACTTCTGTGGTTGTGCCTTTATTATAATACTATAATATGGAATGTACATTTTAAGATTTAGATGCTTTTTGAGTAACTATATACAGTAATTGTATGTATATAGCGTATTTATGTTTGTCCATTTTCTGCCATGTTATTTCGCACTATGCTAAAGCAATAGTGGTATTTATGTGAAGGTTTTATAATATAATACATTATTATTCCGTAAGATCCTGGTAACTTTTGTCCAAATTATCTTAATTTAGTTGGGATCAGCCTAGCATTTTCTCCTTTTTTGATTTTTAGAACACCAAGCTATTTGAGTAAATTAACATGCTTTTTAGAAAAGAATCTTCGGAACTATTGCAGGTACGGGTTGAGGAGATACCGGAAGATGAAGTGACTATTAGGCCTGGCGAACATCTCCTACCTGTTGGTCTATTTTGATAAAGTAGTTCGAAATTTCTGATATTAGGTGTGCTTATATTA